AGCAGGGTATCATCTGTGCTTCAAGAGAGCAGGAAAAGACCGCTGGGTGAAATGCAGCATCTCTGCCTGCTCTCTGCATCTGGAGCATCCTCAGATGCTGCAGCAGCAGCCCTGTGGCCACATCCCCACTCTGCCCAAGATATCCCAACTGTTACAGGCTCACTAGAGGTTTAACCACACATGCAGAACTTAGGGCTGATCCAGGCACGCATGCTGCATTGCAAAGCAGAGCAGAGCAGGCCAGGTTGCATGGAGCAAGGCCAGATCCAGACCCAACTGCCACAGGGAATGCCTTAATTGCAAGGGCAGCCCTTCACCAAAAGCTGCTGAGTGAGAGCAGGGGACAAAGTCCCAGGCAAATGCTGTTCTCCTCAGAGGAGCCCTGACTGCTGCCCTGAGAAGCCTGGAAAGCGATGAAGATGCTTTCTTGCTCTCTGAGGCACAGCCTCACCAATGCTGAGGACAGAGGGATGATCACTTCTCTGCTCCTGCTGGTTACACTATTTGTGATCCAAGCCAGGATGTCACTGGCCTTCTCGGCCACCTGGGCGCACTGCTGGCTCACGTTTAGCTGAGCATCAATCAATACCTCCAGGTCTGTTTCCCCTACACAGTCTTACAGGCACTCTGCCTCAAGCCTACAGCCATGCATGGGGTTATTGTGGCCAAAGCGAAGCCTGGCACAAGGTCTTGTTGCACCTCATCACATTGGCCTCAGCCCAGCTATCCAGCCCTCTGCAGGGCCTTGCTACCCCCAGGCAGATGGACACCTCCCCTCAAATCTGTATCATCTGCAAACTTACTGAGGGTACACAAGGATGCTGACAGGCCTGTAATTCCCTGGATCCTCTTTACAACCCTTCTTGTAATATGGGAGACACGCTGGCAAACCTCCAGCCCTCTGGGATCTCTCCAGTTGACCAGGAATGCTGATAGATGTCCAAATCAAGGAAATGTGAACAGTTAATGGGAACTACAGGATATTGAAAAAAGCACGAAGCTGGGGTTTCTGTCATTCCCTGCCCATTACACTCTTGTAGAAAAGCAAATAGTAGGAGGTGGTTAAGTCTCTAACTGGAGATGGCTCCCCTAGAAGGCACTGCAAAAAATGTCAGGAAACGGTCTGCCTACCTTACAGGAATAGCAAGAAAACATGCTGAGGGATACACTCAGGTTTCCAAATTACAGATGGCCATAAACACAGAACCTTTAGTGTAACAACCTTTTAAACCTGAGCGTACCACCCCTTCCTGAGGATACACCAACAGAAAACATTTGTTTCACGGGTGCCTCAGCCAAAGGGCAAATGGTAAATGGCAATATTAGACCTTGCATTAGGTGTTACCATCAGCAAACAAGTAATGGAAGAAGGGGGTGGCAGTCCACAAGTAGCAGACATAAGAGTAGTTGTTCCTATCTGTAGCCTTTTATGCTGAACGGGCCGGTGCCATGCTGTGGCTCTGTCAGTGGGAAGCCTTGAGTTGAGAAGTAAATAGAGCCTCAGTTTGGAGAAAGAAAGATTGGTAATTATAACTAGATGCAGCTAGGAAACATCTTTCAAGATGGGATGGGTAAAAGCTCACGTTAAGGATAATCAGTCTGCCCCAAAATGCAATCAGAAAGTATTGATGAGTTATCTAAAATCAGGAAAACCACCTTAGATCCTGGGTGATGCTGGTTAGGAGAACAGTCACTCGTTAATGAGGGAAAAACTTTGTGGTCTACATGGCAAATAGATTATATGGGATCATTTAAGCCCTCTGTGGGACATCAGTGCATCCTCACAGGAATGGAAGCAGCCTCTGGATTGCTTATGGTGATAAAATGTTGGAAAGCTGTGGGTGAAATACAGTGTGGGGTTTGTTGTCTTGGTTCTCAAACCTACCCTGACACCATCCGAAGTGACACTCACATTTCTCATGGAAGAAAGTACAAGACTGGGAAAAACAAGAGGGAATGCAATGGAGTATTTCACACTCTGTATCACCCTCCATCAAATGGGATGGCAGAAAGAGTGAACAACTTAATAAAAAGGAACCACAAACCGCACAACAGAAGCCCCACACATTGTTCTGCCACAAAGCACGACTACCAAAAGCTTCATTCACAGCTCCCACTTGAGCACAAGGCAGCTGCTCACCTGGACCAGCCCTGGCAAGGAACCCTGAACAGCTTTCTTCCTGCTATCAGGCTGGATTGAGACAGAAGAGATGTAAAGACTCGTAAGGCATTCCTTTTATCAACTCAGCACGTCCACCAGCAATGGAAAAAGCATCTCTGGAAGAAGCAGTGACACAGAGCAGCCCCCAAGCACCCAAACAGACACCACCACCAGAACACAAGCACCCTCAGATGCAGTTAGCAAGGAATAAATTTATTTTTAAGACTTAAAACCATTATTATTAATAAATAATTTGTTTCTCTGCATGCCACACCCCACCATGGCAAGATGGTTTGGTCTTCCCATTCGTGTGCTTCCGCTCCCCAAGAAGCTGGGTTCAGCAATCACATCATTCCCAACAGCTCAGACAGAAACCCACCCAGCTTCACAGCAGCACGAGTTGGAAACGGTGTTGGACGTACACTGAGACCAGGGCTGCTCTCACCTGGCTCTGCCACAAGCCTGGCAGCAGCACAGATGAGCCAGCCTGCTTTCCAGCACTGATTTAAGCAGATATTTTTCTAGCTTCAAGGTGCATCACATTAAGGCACCAAAAATCCAGGACTCTCCAAAAGATACAGCCTGTGCAGATAGGAAGTGGTTCCAGTTTTTCAGAGGCATCTTTCTCCTCCAGCACAACACGTCATTGCAGGATTTTAAGAGAGGAAGCCCTGCTTCCACGTGTTTGTAACTTCAATTTAGGGTATGTTCCTCATGCCATTCCACAGGGCATTCAACAGTCACAGAATATCCCAATTTGGACAGGACCCACAAGGATCACAGGATGTTCTTATGGGCTGCACCAGCTCTCAGCCAACAGATGCTGCAGCTAGGTGCTAAGGAGACAAAGTGCCATCCCAAGGTGAGGTGGGACATCTCACAGCACGAGTGAAGAGCCAGGATAACACAAGCTCTAGGAAATCAACCATCCCACTGCCACTTGTGCCCTGTGCTGCCAGCACGATGCTGCTACCTGAACATGGCCCATCCCACCGATCCCCCTAAACCTTATGCAAGCATGACTTCCATTTATCTCCCTCCACGATTGTATTCTGTTGCATTCTCATCAAAAATCCAAGCACAGCCCAATTCTTTCTGTGCATTTTGGGTGCTTTGGGTTTGTTTGTTTGTTTTTCCCTGTACAGTGTCAGTAAAATATACCGTGTATGCTACTTTATTGAATAACTCTGAAAACCATTTGCCCCCTCTCCCAGGCGAGCCACCTTCACAGACACGGAGCCAGACAGACATACAGACAGACCGACCACCGGGTGCTGCCTCGGGGTTTCAAGTCTGCATGACAGTGATTCAAATTCACACAAAAAAACAAAAACAAAAGAAAAAAAAAACCACCAAAAAATAAAAAGCATTAAATAGTAGTTACAGTTTGAAGGTTCCCTAAAGCAGGAAGAAGGGACTTCACCTGCAGAAGGAAAATGCTGTGACCGGGCGCCCACGAAGCACGCCGTACAATGATCAGTGTGTAAGAGACTTTGTTCCCATGGTAGATGACAGATGCACAATCTGCTGTGCTTGTTTGCTTCCGGATGCAGCCTTTCCAGAGCCTGGGTTTAAGCTACACTCTTCATTCAAGCACAGGTCTTCATTAAATAAATCGAAAAGAAAATCAGCGTTCAGTCTTCACCACCCCACTCAAGTAACTCAATTATAAAAATGCTCCTTTAAGAAAAGAAAAAAAATGAATGCAAACATGTCTTTTACAAATGGACAGTAAACAAAGATATCCCTGGATGAGGCATGCAGCTGCTGTGGACAACGAGCTTGAAAACAAAGTGATGTTTGGAACGTCACCACACACGCAGACACACACACACAACCTGTGAGCTTTCTGGAAGTGCACACAGAACCAATGTGACACACATTAAGGTGCTTCTCCAAGCTGTGGATTTGCTGCTACTGGTGATCTGGTGGAAGGGTGATGTGCAGCCTGGCTGCACTGCTATGGAAGGAGAGGCTCAGGGAACCAGAAGAGCCAACCCAGAGCAGCAAGTTCATCCCACTGGAAGGAAGGGTTTGGCTTTGTGTTACACAGGTTGGTGTAAGCCACATTTTGCTGCCATCAGAAAGCCCAGCTCGCAGGCAGGGAACACACAAAGACAGATGCAATGTGGTCCCAGTACCCACCACTTGGGCAAAGGAGAGGAAAGCTGCCTTCCCACGTTTATGTTCCTTCGAGCCCTGATTCCTAAGCCCCCTAAGTAAAACGTTACTGTAAGTTTTGTGTGGCTTTAACATCTGCTTTAAAAAAAGAAACAAAAAGGTGCCAGCATTTGTCCAAACAAATGAGTGCAAGAAGGCAGGACAGAATGTGAGAAAACTGTCACCACCTGCTCCTTAAGTACCAGCTCAGGACGAAGGCTAAGAGGGTTAGGGAAAGACAGGAACTCGACCACAAGGACGTCCCCCTGACCTTGCAGAAATCAGCTGTTATGCTGGGTTTGGTGACAGGTCAAGGTGCTTTGCTCAGGTAAAGCCATTTGCATCCCCAACCGGCTTTACCTGAACAAGTGCTGGGGATTGAGGTTGCACTGGGAACATTCAGCTGGTCTGAAATACAGTAGTAGTGACCTGAAGGCGATCTGAAGCTTGTCCAGCTTCACCCAAAACTGTAGGCTTGTGTTGGTTGAACAGCAGCAGAGGCTGCCCTGTACCAGTCCCGCCCTGGCTGCACTGGATACCGCGTGTACGTTGCCCTGATGTCTGTCCAGAGGATAGGTTTAGATCTGTGGTGATGGTTGAACTATTTACAGGTATTTGCAGCAGATATTTACAGTACTTCTGCAGACCGCAAGCTGATTTTCTCTTCCTCCATTTCTAGTCAATCCGGCGTGGGTTTCTTTAGTGAGAAGGGTCGTATATTGAAATGCCTGCTCAGCTGGCTCACCTGGGAACAAGGACAGAGTTAGCAAAGCTGATGGCACGAGGAGGAAACCGGCAGAGCCCTGCTATCCCACTGTGCTTGCTTTCCCCATCATTGCCCACACTGCATTGCCCCAGTTCTCCAGATTTCCCCATGCCCTTCCCTGGAAGGTTTTAGGCAGCAGAGATTTGCAGCAGCTGGATGAGTGCTGAAGAACAGATGCAATTAGGAAGGAGTTTCTTCTCTGAAAGAGCGGTGATGCTGTGGCACAGCTGCCCAGGGAGTTGGAGGGGTCACCATCCTGGGACTGTGGCACTGAGGGAAGTGGATAGCCATTGGGCATGATGGGTTGGTTTGAGCTTGATGGTCTTAGAGGTCTTTTGCAATGATTCTATGATTCAATAGCCTATCCTGCCCTGAAGCAGGCTTATCTGAGTGAGGAGCTTATTGGGCCCCTCACTGCAAGAAAGACATTGAGGCCCTGGAACGTGTTCAAAGGAGGGCAACAAAGCTGGTGAGGGGTCTGGAACACAGAGCTGATGAGGAGAGGCTGAAGGAGCTGGGAATGTTCAGCCTGGAGAAGAGGAGGCTCAGGGGAGACCTCATTGCTCTCTATAACTTCCTGAAGGGAGGTTGTAGAGAGCTGGGGGTCGGCCTCTTCTCTCGTGTCATTAGTGATAGGACCAGGGGGAATGGTTTCAAGCTACGGCAGGGGAGATTCAGGCTGGACATGAGGAAGTATTACTTTTCAGAAAGGGTGGTCAGGCACTGCAATGGATGCCCAGGGAGGTGGTGGAGTCACTGAGCCTGGGGGTGTTCAAGGAAAGGCTGGATGTTGTGTTGAGGGACATGGTTTAGTGGGAGCTGTTGGTGTGGGTGAACGGTTGGACTGGATGAGCTTTTAGGTCTTTTCCAACCTTGGTGATTCTATGATTCTATCTCCATCCTCCCCTTCTCAGGCACAGCAGTCCCTGAATGTGTTCACAGTTAGAGCTGGGGGTCAAGTGCTGGGTATTGACACAGGAGGGTTGCAGAGTGGAGGGTAGCCAAAACAAGTTTTGGATCACCAGGTCCTTTTTACAGCAGCCTGAGCTTTCACTGTGTCTTCTAAGAAATGAGAGCACCACAAAGGGCTGAGAGATGCAATGGAAAAGCAGGAATCTGCTTTGTGGGGTGAGGGAATGTATTCAGCCTTTCAATATCAGGGTGAAAGAGCAACACCTGTAGAACCACAAAAAGCAGTGCAGCAGACAGTGGATAAAATCTACAATGTGGCACCAGTGTTCAGTCATTGCAAAGCCAACAGAAAACAGTGCTGAGACCAGCAGCAAGCCAGGGCAGAGCATCTATTCCAAAATGGTGCTCCCAGATTCATAATAATTTGGGATTGTGTCTCAGTCACTGTTCTAAATGCTATGCATCACTATCAAGGTTATTCCGTCCTGAGAGAGGAGACTACACAGATGGGCACCTGGAAAACTGGAAGTGGGGGCAACACAAACTCAGGGGAGTAGAGAGCTGGAAAACTCACTGCAGGGATGGGCAATCTGAGCAGATGGGATTACAGTGTCCTCAGCCCTGTCTCCAACAGTGACTCCAAGACCAAATTTATTTAAAGCTTCTTAGCTATTCAAATCCTTCTCACACATAAGTCTCATTACACTAATTGGAAAGACAAGACAACGTGGGTATTACTTCCTTGCTGTAATTACAGCTCAAACTTGACTCATGGAGGCTCTGTGTCAGTGATGCAGCACTGAGGACACAGGGCCACCTAAGGAAGGTGCGTGACATGGCAGCACCAGGGGGGCCCTTGCCCTACTTCCTCAGCAGCTTCCTGGGGCATTTCTAATGGGATTTGGCCTCCTCTGAATTTGTTTTCTCTCTTAATGAAAATTGAGGCAGAGTTTGCTCAGACCAAGGGGAACAAATCGGTCCCTGGATCTCTACACAGCCACAGCATCACCATGCTCCACGTCAGCTCTGTGTCCCTGTGGCTCCAGATTGAGCTCAACCACAGTGACACCCACAGCAGATCAACTTTTTATACTAAAACTCCCAAATTGAACACTCCTGTCCACCACGCAGACATCACATCCACTGCTGTGGGTATCCACAGGAGCCCTTCCCACTGCCTTGGGGTGTGGGTCACCCAGATGGGCAGACCTATGAGCTGGTTTCTAGGTTAAAATCACAGCCACAGCGTGCTAAACAGCAGCAGAGATGCAAGGATTTGTTTCAGACTCCTGCATGGCAAAGGAGCCCCCACCCACATTGCTTGAAGCTTGCTTTAAATCCAGCTCAGCTCGAGGTCTTCATGGAGAGCTATAAAACTGACACCAGCCCTTTAAAGCAGAGCATTTTCTGCCCCAGGGAGCAGCTCTTGAGCATTCAGCCCATGTGCCAGGTTCACCTACCACGACCACTCCATAGTGGATGTGCGCCAGGGTGAGGAATGCAGTTAACAGGTAGAGGAGAAGTGCTTCGCTGCTGGGTGCAAAACCAGACACCACCACGAAGAGCACCAGGGCTATGGGCAGCAGCATCCAGTTCAGAGGCTGGCAGCGAGTGCTGCTCATCTGACAGACGATCAGCTGGCACTGCAGGCAGAGAAAGCAGTCAGAGCCCACACCAGCACCAATCCTGCAAACCCACAGCTGTACACAGCGCAGGGGAAAGTCACACGTGTACCTTTCACTCAGCTTCTTTTTCAGGATCTGCCTGCACACCAGAATTCCTTACCACGTTATCCACACTGTAAGCAGCACGAGCTGCTGGACCAGAGGATGGACATGGGGCAGTACAGACACACAGATCTGAGATAATGAGCACAGCTAGCAGTGCTCAACTCTCAAGCAGGCACGGATGCAATATGCAGCTAAATCAGACTTGGACAAAAGCTTCAGCCCCTCCCATTTTAATTTTGTCCCCCAAAAAGAGCGTGCACAAACAGACACAATTATTTCTGTAGTTTCTCAAGAGCTGAGAGCTGTAGCACCAAGGCCTGTGATATTTGCAGACCCCAGGCCCTGCCTGTTTTGCTGCTCGTTCTTTCAGTCAGAGCAAAACAGCACAACTGTCACAAGTTAAAACACTTCACATCTCCTTTCCTTCCTCTCACTGAAACTGTGTTCTACTTCGTCAAGAGAGGTTTCACTCTTCCCAGGGGCAAAACTGAAGCATAAAGCAAAACCACTCACAGAAATGTTAGCAAAGGCGGTTCCAACCATGAAATAGAAGAGCCTGGGATGGACCTCCAGGATGTCCATAGGTGAAACAAAGATCCAACTGGTGCAGAGAGCAAAAAGCAACACTGGGGACACCAGTGGCAGCATGATCTCATAAACGGAGTGGTGCTTCAAGGTGTTCTTTTTATAGGCCCTGAAAAGCAAACAGTCAATAACCACAGTCAGGTGAGGAAGATGCAAACCTTCACTGGTAACCCCAAATCCAAGAAGCTCCTGAATGATGTAGGCAGCAAACAACAGGACGAGCCTGCAGAATTTGTGAGCTCTTCAGCAAGCTGCTGAGCAGTTTGCACCCTGCCAAGTGGAACCCTCTGATGTACAAAAGCCACTCTGTCATCCTGAAAACATTCATCTGACAACTAAAGAAACTGTAAAAGGCTCTGGGAGCTCTTGCAAAGGTGCCAACGCCAGGAGGGAAGAACTTACTTGTAGAAGTTATACAGGCTCATCGGCAGCGTCACGGTGAGAGCACAAGCTGAAAGAGAAAGAGCCACATTACTGCCCATGCAGAAGAGGCCACTGTGTGCACCCCGCAGTGACTGTGCTCTGGTTTCAGCTGCCTGCAAGCAGAACAGCTCAGAGGTGCACGAAGAGCAGCTCAGCACTTTTCCAAGCAGGTGCTTGAGATTCTGGTTCAGGAGTTGTAATTACAAGCTAAGTAAATGGAATTTGAGTTCAACGCAATGAATTTCCAGTGTTGAAAAGCTGCATTAAGAAGCTCAGTGTTAAACTTCACAACTGCTCAAAGCATAATTATGATATTGTCTTTAATGGGACCCTACGGTCAAAGCCATGAAAGTGCATCACAACTCTTCCACGTTTACACAGCAGAAGGTATTTTAACAGAGCTGTACATCTTCCTGCTTTTAATCACCTCACTCCTATTCAGATGCACAAATCCAGTCCACATACACATCCTGCCCTATTTTTCACAAAGGAAAAGTGCATTTATTGTTCCTATATGAAAGTATGTGGCTACCAAAGAAAAGCTCAGAATCTCCACTTGCTTCTGATGCTTGCACTTTTCTTAATGCAACAACCCAAGACACGTCGACTTGTAATTAAATAGTAATAATTAGCCCCTATAGAAAAGGGCCTAGAGTGAGAAAAGTTTCTGAATAAGCCAAATAACATTAAGCAAAGATAGCTCTCCCCAGGTTCCACCTGCATTATTCCCTGCTTTGTTCTGATTCCACAAGGGAGAGCAGCCAGCCCTTCTGCAGGAAGGTTATGCACCCTTGGATTGAACTTTTGGATGGGTGCACAAAGGACAGGACCCCCAAAGAGAGCTGCTTTCCCCATTCCATAGCTACGTCCTCCCTCTCTGCAGCAGCCCCAGCTTTTCTCATTACAGCAAACACAACATCATTATAAAATAATTAAGACATTGGGTTTGGGGAAAAAAAAAAAAAAGTTGATTTTTTTTTTTTTAAAAGACAGGCTTCAACATGGAGTTTCTTACCAATAATCATTGTAGTGAATAGGTCTCTATATAAGAAATTAAACAGGAAAGGTGCATACCAGGCCTCTACTCCCACAATGGCTGTCACTATGTAGACAATTGAAATGGTCTGAAAGAAAGCAGAGGACAAGCAGGCGTGAGCAGCATGTAGCTCAGGGGAATGGCAGCTCAGCACGTGCATTTGAGCTACATCATCATGTGCCATTATCCCCACTGATCAGAAGTTTAAAACAACAGTTTTTTAGAAGCATCCCTTGTGTTGCTGCTGCTGCAGGGAAAAACACAACCAGGATCTGCTCCTTGCAGCTGGAGCAAAGATGCCCTTACACAGCTCGAAGCGTAACACGGAGATGTGTTGTGTATTACACACTGATCAGCTCTGGATTCCTGTTATCCATCTGCTGAGGCCATGACTGGGAATGGGCTATGAAGGGATCCTTCAATTGCAGTGGTAGTCCTGAAGTTGTGTGAAATCCTCTACCCTTGCCTTCCTGTGCTAAGCAGAGGTCCAAAAGCATGAGCAATATTTTTGGAGCAGTGGGTTAGAATATGGTCATAGCTACATTGTACCAGTAGAGATGATTATTGCAATTAACACAGCTGCTTTGGCTACACTTCTTCCAGCCTGTTGTGTTCCCCACCCAGGATCTAGCAAGACAGAATACAAACGGTGTGCTGCCTGGTGCTGTACCCTGGCTAGGACAGGCACCTGGAAGCAGCAGAGCTGAACTTTACCCATTCTGACAAACGTCCTAATTGCAAAAGGCACCCTAAACTTCTAGGCTTGAAAGTAGCTATAATAGAGACTAAGTAGAGCAACAACTTAGGCAGTTAGGACATGGAGAGCACCTAGGAACCAGGCAGAGGAAACACAAGGCAATATCCATTCTTCAAGCCTCGTTTCTTGCAGAAAGTCCTAGACTATCCTGGGTTGGAAGGGATCCATAAAGGTCATCCAGTCCAGAAACAAAGTTCCTTGAATTTAAGATTTTGGAGAAGTTGTATTCCTAGTGCCACGGGACAGCAATTAATGAATGCAATTGCAGCTCAAAGTGATGCAAACAGCCTGCTCCCTTCTGCATGCACAGGACTCCTCGTGCTGCTGAGTGCCTCCTGCTAAAGGCAACCCCCACAAGAGCACTGCATTACAAAGCTTAGGGCCTTTCACGCTTCCAGGCACATCAGCAGCCTGCTGAGCTTCTGCTGAAGGCAAGCAGAGGCTGGGGTGCATACTTACCACCTGACTGATGTCATATCCCCAGGGCAGGAAGAGAATCCCTGTGTTATACTTCTCCCAATGGGAGAGGATGAATGAAAACAACACCACCCATAACAGGAGGTAGAGAACGAAGACACTGACACCCGTGGAGCCCCGGCCAAAGGTGGAGTAGACTGTCACAACGAAGTACACACAAGCCCAGCTGTCCAGGCCATGGTCAAAAAGCTCTCCTAAGGGTGTGCTGGAGTTGGTCCTGCGAGCTTGTTTGCCATCAACACCATCTGGAAAGAGAGCAAGGAAAACCAGGAGTTTTACTGGACACACTCCAAAAATAGTGAGTTTTGTGGATACCTCTACACAGAGCAATGGGCCAGGTTGCAGCTGACAAAGTGTGTGCAGCCAGCAAACAGAAACTCCCACGACCGCCATCCTGTATGCAGTGCTTTTGGAGGTACCACTCCCCAGCTCTCCTCAGGACTGAAAAATGAAATAGAGGGAAAGTCTGACGACTTTATTTAAAGCAGACCAGTGACAGAATTCCCAGATCACCTCCAAGCCACTTCCAGCATCCTCCTTTGGCATCAGCTGCTCTGGGCCCCCTTCCTTCCATCCACTTGGTAAAACACTCCCTGGAAATTGCCCTAGAGCAGGGCACAGCTGAAGTTCAGAATCAAAGATACCTCTGTGGGCTCAGAGATAAGCCAACATGCAGCTGCAGCAGGAACAAAACCAACACAAATCCCCCAGACAGCCAGATGAAGTCTTACCTAACGTGTAGGCAATGAAGTTGAGGAGACCCACAACGACCCATACTCCATTTGGAACGTGCTGGTGGTCAGGAGCTGCAGGGATCAGAAAGACCCAGGGGTAGAGAGCTCAGTGTGTATGCTCAGTGGGTTTATTTTGGCACAAGATGCATAAAACGTAGATCACCAGGTCACCAGGACAAAGTATCCACACAACTGAGTGAAACTGAGATGGCAGCTCTGCAGGATGAGATAGCAGAGCTGTTCCACAACAGGAAACCTACGACTTCACTTTCCAAGACATACTTGTCCCTCTGTGTCACAGGATCTAAAATCTTGTGATGGCAGCTAGCAAACATGGCCCAAAACTATCCCATGGAAGTGTGTGCAGATCAAGCACTCCTCCACTGCTTGCTCAGAGCACCAAGAATCCCTTAGAGATGCGATTCCATGACTCCATGTGGTTACACCCTGCCTCTGCAGCCACACATGAGGAAATCCCACCCAGTCTGCTTCTCCAGCACTCTCAGCAGACAGCCAGCTGAGCTGTTTGCAACTCTGGGAGCCCAAAGGTACACCTGAAAAAGCAGGAAGCTGCTTCTTGGCACAGCCTCACATGAGGATGAATAGCGGTCTCCTACGGGCAACAGCAATGGCATGAAACGTTGCTGTGGATTGATACCAGGAACTGTTCTGAGCAACCTAAGATCAAATCTGTCAAGGAAGCTAATATACAGAAAGAAAACTACCGCAAGTGACTGAGAGTTATCACATGCTGAATTCTCTGAGACATTTTCATGAGCAAGGAGACAACAACTTTCAGATTCATTAACAGATTAACAGTGGTTCTGTTACACATTCAAAGCTGTGCACATCCTTGCATGATACAGAACAGTGACATGGTCTTTGTTAGTTTGAATGTGGGGCCAGCACGTTTTTGCAAGAGGGCAATTAGCTGGGATGCAAATTAAAAGGCTCTACTCCCTAACTTCAGGAAAGCAGAGTTTCCCACACTTTTGATTTCAAAATGAGGGCACTAGCTTTAGTCCATTGTGAAAGCAGAGCTGAATCCTCCTCAGATTTGGCCATTCCTTCTTCTTTCACTTGCACACAGCCAGCCAGGAGCAAATGCACCCAGCAGGAAGGTGTCACTTGGACAAGTCCTCACTGCAAAGCCCAGAAACTTGAGCCCCTGAACACCATCCCTTCCTGACACTGCCCGGGAAGCCAGGCTGAAAGTGCTTTGCAACGAGCACAGGAAGTCACAGCAGAGGAGGTGACAGCACACATCCTTCTGATGCTTTACATCCAAACAGAAAAAGGCAGCCTTACCAGAAGCGTAAAAGTCAGGGTCGAAGTATGCCATGAGGAAGAAGTTGAAGACAAGCAGCAGGAAGCCAGAAAATGTTATGAGATTTGGGGCCAGCCAAGTAGGGAAGATCTACGGGAAAGCAGCAAAAGAACAAATGAGCTCATTAAAATGTGCAACAAGGCTGCAACAGAGACCTCATTACAATCATCTGGGCGTTAGACAACACTGCTTGGTTGCATCCAACATCATGGGCAGCACGAAGCTTCAGGCTGCAGTGCAGTGAGCTCAGGGCAGGCTGCCAGCTGGGAAGGTCATGCCCACTTAATTAGTCACACCCCAAAGGAAGCAGGTCTTTTCACACAAGCGGGGCCTTTCAGCTGCAGAAGTCTTGGCAGCAAGTGGTGTTCTGCTGTCCCAGTCAGGGCAGGAGAAGGTCTTACCTTCACTATCGTGTTCCAGAAGGGATGCATGACATACACAGACAGAGGGTTGCTGTCCACGGCACTGTACTGTGAATGAGAGGAGAAATAAAAGTCAAAAAATAATAGTTAGGGCTCCAAGACTTCTTAAAGCAAGCCAAAGAGCCTGAATGTCAAGGCTTCACTTGCTACCCAAGTCTTTGCATTGCAGGAATGCTTGCGCCAGGAACAGAGTTATAAACAGAGGACAGTGAGCAATCACAAAAGTCCTGCATAAGAGCTGGTGCATTTCAGTCCAGATTACAGCCATTGAGATGACAGCTCTCGCTGTCACACTCATCTCCAGTCACTTGGAAGAGATCTTCTCCTTCCAGAAAGGCAGAAGATATTTACGAGCAAGAGCTCCAACCCCCTCCCTTGTTCTGCAGGACCTAAATCATAGAATCATAGGTTGGAAAAGACCTCTGAGATCACCGAGTCAACCCATCAGCACCTTGCCACGTACACCACTGCACATCCACAATCACCTCCAAATCCTACACACCCCATTACAGTTTAAGCAGCAAAGGGTCATTTGGCAGCTCCCAGCACAGTGACCTGGGCTGGATGGGGACATGGGGCACAGAAACAAAAGACTCAAACAATGGAATGGGTTCCAGCTCAAAAGTTAAATTTCAACATCATTTGGCTCTCAAAGCACCACAAGCTGTTATCTGCTCTCCAGCTCACAGCCTCTTCCCAGCCAACATCACTCTGTCTAAAGTCCTCTTCCCCAATAATCACTTTGATAAGCACCCCAAGAAAAGCAGTTCAATTTACTACAACATTGCTCAGCTCACGTGTTTCAGGTGATGAACCTTGGAACGGCACCCACAAAGCGTTGGGCATTGGTGCTTGCTGTCACCCCATAGCAGGGGAAAGCTCAAGAGCAATGGGGGAGAATGATCAAGAGCCTCCACCCAACCTGGGACACAACCTATGCTCTCTCTCTGAGACAAGGGGAATTTGGTTGTTCAGAGGAAGCATTGCAGTGCTCAGTTCCCAGCCCTGAACCAATCAGTATCTCTCCATGCTGCTGCTTCTCAGAGCTCTTCTCTTTGGTTGCAAATCAGGTCGGATATTAGGAAAAATGTCTTCTCTGAGTGATCAGGGCACTGGAACAAGACTGTCCAGGGAGGTGGTGGGGTCATCATCCCTGCAGGCGTTCCAGAATTGTAGGGATGTGGTACAGAGGCATGTGGTCAGTGGGCATGGTGGGGTGAGGTTGGTGATCTTGGACGTCGTTTCCAACCAGAACAATTCTGTGATCCCTTGGAAACAAAGGGGACTGCCTGTCCATGTCAGAAGCTGGAAAGTGGTCGTTTGGAGACAGAAGTGCTCCAGCAATCTGAGCTCAACTGGTTGGGTGTGTTTTTTTTGGCAAGATTTGTGAATATTCACATAGGATCTCCCAGTGCATCCCTCATGGGCAGCTTCAAGCACAACTCTGCCAGGCTTTCAACCAATGGGTGGAAGAAAGCCCACTTATTTCTCCCAGCCATCTCAGTGCTTGTATCATTCCTTTCCCACATTCCTAACGGGCTCAATCCCACCTTTAGCAGATATTTTTGCTTCCACCAGCCCTTCCCCTCCTAACAGATCACTGTTTCACTAGGAGTTAACCTAGCACTATTAACCCACTCGCCTCGATCTTACAGTACCAGCAAGCCCACAGGAGCTGTAGCAGAGCAACTAAAGCCTGAGCTTGACATCATATGAGATGAGGGCTAAGCCATGAGGAATTTCCATCCCAGCTTAGTGCAGTTTCACAGGACAGAATTTCAAACAATTTATGAGATAATAGGATTTGGGCTAATTACCAACTAGGGGAGGAGAGCTGGAGACTGATTAAATCTCATTATCCCCATAACAGCTTGGAACAAGAAAACAGATGCCTCACCAGGAGCAAGGCAGGGGAAGCACTCTGGAGTCTACTCCTGTTTGGAAAGCACCCTGGGGAGGTTTCCAGGCCACATCCCAGCACATCTCTCCTCTCCTCTCTCCACACACTGGGGGTAAGAAGCAATAAGCAGCTTTTCCCCACACTGCTGACTTGCATGCAGAGCTCAAAGATTCAGAATGACCCTATTTTGGGGGGTAATGCTCAGCTGTTTTGCAGAGGCTTACTGATGCTCTGGTTTCCTTTCCAGAAAGTTGGGGCTGATGGCCATGAGGCTCTAAGCCCAGCAGTGCTCCACTTACCACACAGGTACCTGCTGTCCTCCAGCTGCCTCATCCTTCCTGCAAACCAGCATCTCCTTCTCCATTCTGAACCTCTACACATCCATCTAATGACTAACACACACCATTTGTCCTTCCCCAAGTCATATTTTCTATCAGGGCCAGCAGTCAGGACTCAGATTTCTGCCTTATTTTCAGGGAGGAAAGGACAAATGGAAGGAATTTCATATGCCCCAGAGGTTCCTTCTCAAAGCAGACAGACAGCTGTAATGGACACTGCTCTAAAATAGCACCGTGCACACAGTCACTGCTTCTCCTTACAATAGCAGGAAGGATTCACTCCCATGGGGTTTTGGTTTTAAGCTTCTCAAGAATACGGCCCAGCCAACTCTGCAGCATCAATCTCACAGTTGGCACACTGCAGCTTCCCCCTGCTCCATCCCCACCAGCTGAGCCCCTTGCATCCAGCCAGCTTATCCACATGCCCTCCACTCTCTTGCCTACACATTCCCTGGCCACGCAGGGACACTTCCCATCAGTACTGCAATGAGATTTACCTCCAGGAGGCTTTTTCCAACTGAAGTGGTATCATTTGCTCTAAAACCCCTTCCAGGCTGAGCCTTCCCCCATCCACCACATCCCATCTCCAATTCTGCTGGACAACATTTCCAAACAAAGGAAGCTACATGAAAGGCTGTAAATACAGGCGGCACCCCAGCATGGCCCACAGGACACCACCATGGTCCCAGCATGAGCTGATGCCCATCATTATGGAAGTTAGAGAGAGGAGTGGCTCTTCTAGCTTGAAACCAGCATCAGTTGTGCAAACGGAACATTTCTCTCCTATAAAGAAAGGCTGAGAGCTGGGGTTGTTCAGCATGGAGAACAGAAGGCTTTGGGGCAACGTCACGGAGGTCTTTCAACACTTAAAGGGTGCTTATAACAAAAGACACAGTCTGCTAGTGATAAGACAAGGAGTAATGGCTATAAACCAAAAGAGGTGAGGCTTAGGTTAGATGTTAGGAAGAAATTCTTTACTCTGAGGGCAGTGGGGCCCTAGCACTGCTGCGCAGAGCTGTGGGTGCCCCATCCCTGGCAGTGCCCAAGGCCATGGATGGGACCTCAGACAGCCTGGTCTATGGGAGGAGTCCCTCCCCACAGGAGTGGTTGGTCCCTTCCAATCCAAGTAGCTCAATTATATTCTGTGATTTCTGGAAGATCCAATTACACGCCCAAGGAAGAGACACATATTTATAGCCCAGATTCTCCTAATAGCTCTCCCAACCAATAAAACAATGCAGCTTTTAAGTAACCCAGCTACCAACAGCAGAAAGCGCTTCATCATGCTGGCGCCCAGCACAAAACACACAGAGGGCTTTGGGGTGGGCTGGGGGAGCCCCGAGGCAAGAACAAAGCAGAAGGAGCCCCAGCACATCCATAAGGCTATTTCCTACAAATCTCCTTAAGTGCAAAGGGAGCACAAGGCTAAGAGCCTCTTCCCATGGGGCCCAAGGTAAGCCAGGAGGCTGTGAACTTGACAATCCACAGCAACTGTCATCAAGCAGAGCTGTGCCAGCACAAACAAGCCACGTCTGCACTATGCCCACGCTCTGCTAATGCATTACAAGCCGCATCGTGCTTTAATGGTACTTATTAACTTCAGTCCTGATGATCTTCTCTAAGGTCAGTTCTCAGGCACTGTAAGAATGGAGCACATTGGCAGTGGTGAGCACAGGACTGTCGCGTGAACAGAGGGTTTGGCTCAGAGGGATGCCAGCATCCCCAAGCCTTACCCAACAAGTCTCAGTGCTGGCACCATATCCCTCCTTTGGCCATTTTTCAGTCCTCATTCATTAGAGGTTAAATATACAGCAAAGTCAGAACTGCTTTCCTGCGAGAACTCCTTTCCTACAACACTGAGAAGCCTTGCTTGTACTCTCCAAGCCCCACAGGGTGTGCAAATTAAATTGGGAAAGCAGGATTTCTGCCCTGCCCACAGCCTCTCATGGTCAGAACCACAGTTCTTGCTGAGATTATCCCTGCCTTCTGCAGCACACCCATAGGACTGCTCCTGCAGCAAAGCCACTGGGGAGAGGCTCGTTCTTCCCTGCAGATCAGGAGGCAGGAAAGGTGCTCATTGGGACAACAGCTTTATGGCACAGCAGACGTACTGCAGAGGTAGAAAACACACAGCGGGATGCACAGCACCAGTAAAAGCCATCCAGGCAGAGCTGACTCCCAGAGCTGGCCACACGCTGGGTGCTTAACCCTGCCTATTTCAGCCACGTCCAGGAGCTCGCTGTGTTTGGGAGTGTTAAATATCTGAGGTTGCAGGAAGGCTGCACAGATGGTGAGCACGGGGTGGGAGAGCTCAGAAGCCGGTGGCAGGGATGTAGCACTAGGAGGATCAGCCAGCAACAAGCTCCTGAAACAGGGAATGAAGGGACCAGGGCAAGAAGAAAAAGCAGAAATATTAATGTTATAAGAAGTTTCTCTCTGTGTGATGTTGCAACCACCACCAAACCTTCTTACTCTTGCTTAAAAGAGGAAGGCATACATAAGTGCATACGTACATAAAGGGGAATGAGATTTCAAGCTGACAGATCTGGGAGCCTGCTCCTGGTGCTAAAGAGAAGCAGGGGAGCAGGCAAGTTGGTGTGGAAAGAGAATTCATTGTGATTCCCCTAAAAAGAAGTCAGTCCAATTTTTAACCATACCTATCAAAGGAAAACACAAACCCACGCACATCAGGAAATGACTGCAGATGAAGCAAGGCACCACCAGAAAGGAGGGGGAGGGCTACCATTGAGTTTCAACAGAGGCATTTTGAAAGAGACAAATAAAGCACTTTCTTTTTCCCAAAGCACCCAACCTCACCCTGTCTCCTTTCT